TCTTTGATAATATTGTTTTCTTTATCAAGAATAAATTTATGCAGCTTCAAGAATTCTCGGCGTTTTCTATCAAGAAGAGCATTTTGTTTACTGCTCAACTTGATTTGTGTATATTCGGTAATGTGTCCATCATCATCAGGATACATGATTGGTCTTCGAAAGTTTGTATTCTCATTTTCTCTAAACCACGTGAGATTGATACTTTCTTTTTTTTTATCTGAATAAGACATTTTAAATTACATAAAAAAATATCTAATCGGTTAACAACTGATTAGTTTTTAAGTTTAAAATTGGTAAACAAGAGTCTGCTGACCAGATTCCGATCAGGTCAGCAGACATTTAAGATTACATCCCACGGTTTTGATTATTTCCTCAAAAAATAATACTGATTGTATGGGTTGTCTCCGCGACGGCTCGCCCTTTCAGGAAAGGGCCAAAAGTTTTTTTTAATTCATTGGCAATTTTTTCGAGCTGATCGTGAGCCAATCGAAATGATTTTTGAATTCTCATGTACACGAGAATTCAAAACTAATTTCTGATTGTTAACAATCAGTCTCAAAAATTGATTTTGTAATATAAATTTAAAACTGATATTATAGGAATAATAAAAAAAATAAAAATTTATTTAAATATAATTTATTTTTGTTTGTTAAAATTCTTTGGATTTGTATCAGAATCTTTCCACATTGAAGCAACTAATTTAAATGCTTCGGAATGAGATAAATGTGGGTTATCTTTTTTGATTTTAGGAAGATTTGTTTTCATGAAACTATTGTAAGGAGATAATTTTTTTGTTATTGTTTTGTTCCTTCTAATAGCGGCTGCTTTTCGAGATAATCTGTTTACTCTAAAATTACCTGAATGATTTTTTGCATAAGTAAATATAACTTTTCCATCTCTCTTATTTACCAGAGAATCTAAATATTCGATTAAATCTCTATTTAAAACTTCTGTTTTTCTTGCAGTTATCCAATTATTAGACTTCCAAATATCGATCCATAAATCAAAAGTATTGATTAAATTCTTGTTGTCTGATCTGATTTCGATGACTTTTTCTTGATCCTGACAATTCTCGAGAGCTCTAATCGCAGCATACAACTCTGCACGGTCAGCTGATTGTAAATCGTCTTCGATAGGTTCGTAAAGTTCTTTTTCAGACTTCTCATAAAACACACCAATACCTGAGTTAATTCCATTATTATTTTCGATTTTAGAACCATTGATATAAACTATAAGTTTATCGGGATCATTTAATAATTCTTTTTTTTTCTGATATTTCTCTTGATTTTTATCGAAAAATTCTTTAGCTAATTTGAACTCGTCAAAAGAACGGTAGTATGAGTCAGATTTATCAATTACTTCTTTTTGGCAGTCTTCCCAAGAATCATAGATCCCAGGTGTTCGACCTAATACGACTGCATAATATTTTTGCTTTTTAACCATCTGAAAGGTGAGCGTCATTATAACAACCCATACAATCAGTATTATTTTTTGAGGAAATAATCAAAACCGTGGGATGTAAGAGAGAGTTAGTAAAATAAACGAAATAAAATTTCAAATAATTTTACAAAGTTGGATCTTCCTCTCACCTTTAAGATCTGAACAGAGTTGTGTGAAGAAAGATCTAATCGGTCTTTAGAGACTGATTAGATGGTCATCATTTATTGAAGCGTTTGAGAAAAATTACAAAAATAGATGTGAGACAGACTATCGATAAACAAAGGGAAAAGGCTTTCGCAAGTTCGATCATACAGAAAGATAGGTTTGATCCAATCTCAATAACGAAAAGCATTTAAAAAATCTGAATAAAGAAAAAAAAGGGTTTATATATATTTGGTTAAAGAAAATAAATTATGGGATTCCAATTATTTCTTGAATCATTTCTTGAGTTGTTTGTAACAACTAGAGAAATATTCGTGATAATTTCAACTGAGCTCTTTTCTTTTATTTTTTTTAGATACTCTTTATAAGTTTGTATTCTTATTGATTGGTTTGGTATTGTTTGTTGAATTCTATAATTGTCTCCCCAATAATAAATGCTCTCGACATGTTTTACAATTAAATATAAAATACACTACAAATCCTCCCCCTATAGTATATTCTGTTTGAACTAGTTTTAATTTCTCTCTTAATTCTGATACTTCATCTCTTCGAAATTCATAAGAACATGTTGCACAGTATGTAAAACCTTTGCAGATATCACATGTTTTTTTTCCATAACCATCAACTTTACTTGATTCGATAAATA